TCCCTCCTCCCTTCCCCCTCCATCTTTCCTTTCATTGCTACTCCAATTTCCTTATCCCTCCCACTGCCCACCCCCACCTATAAGTAGTTGAATTCCAGGACATTAGGTACATACATGACAAAATTCTATTATGTTACATTTCAGATGCTGCTATAGTAATCCCAGATATATGTTTTAAATTTCCATTTAACTAATTTATCAAAAGTGAGAAATTACTTTTTCTTTTAAAAACCTAATAACAGGGTGAGTATACATTGGGGCATGCTTTATCTACATTAAATTTGCACTAAATCACTGCTTGGAAGAAATTTGGCTGGGAGAAATCAATTAATTAGCGCAAAGAAAAACCATGACCTCTACCTCTAAAAAAAAAAAGAAACCATCTTCAAAATGTGTTGTCTGTGCTGAACTTCACATGCATGCATCCTAAAAGGCACAAGGCATTTGGTTAGAAATAGTGACAAAAAATTTAAGGCTAACATTTAAACATCTCAAAAGGATATATCTAACATATAAGTCAATCTATATATGTATTTATATATCTATCTACAGTTGATTTTGAGCAACTTGGGGATTAGGGGAATTGACCCCCTCCCTGCCAGTACAGTTGAATATATGAGTATAACTTTTGACTCCCCCCAATTTTAACTACTAATAGTCTACTGTTGACCAGAAGATTTACAAAGAACATAAACAATTAAAACATATTTTGTACACTATATGTATTATATACTGTATTCTTACAATAAAGTAAGCTAGACAAAAGAAAATGTTTTAATTATCACAAATCCCTAAAAAGTTTTCCAATGTATTTATTGAAAAAAATCTGCACACAAATGGACTTGTGTGGTTCAAACCTGCTGTTCGAGGGTCATTGCATGTATATTATATATATAGGTAGACATCTGATATAGGCTTGGACAATGTGTAGGTTCAGGTAATGCTAGAGTTCACTTAATCCAAAGTCCTCATTTTACAGATGAGGATGCCAAGGTCTGAGAGGCTGAGGCTGACTTTCTAATGTCACACAGTTAGTTGGAGGAGAGCCAGGACTGGAATCAAGACAGATTCAGCCTCCTTCCATTGCCTGAGAGTACAGCTCCCTGCCCTCAGGTGGATTCAGCGGGACAGCTTTGTGATCGCACTTGGTCTAGAGCTGTGGCCTCATGATGCTCCAGTCATCTGTTAACCCGCTTTGCTATTTGAAGTATAAATTTTTGATGTGGCCAGTAGAGGGTGCAGCATCCAGTACTAGGTGCATCCTAACTGAATAGCAGTGGGACACCACAGAGATTGTTTTTGACTAAAAATCAGCCATGTACTTGGAAAGGCAGAATTCAAAGAATTGGAGACATGGAGAAGAAATCTCCTTTATATCATTATAAAGTATTCTCTAAAAAATCTTTTGAATTTAGATATCACCCACACAGTGTGTTTGTAAAACTTACTTGATGGCAAATCAACTGGAAGGACCCTATCATTGACTCATTCTCTGGTCTCCTAGCTGTCTATTCAAGTTTTGTGCTTCTTTTTCATGAATGTCTTAGTTTGTTTGGGCTGCTAAAACAAATATATCATAGACATGCTGGCTTATAAACAGCAGAAATTTATCCCTCATAGTTCTGGAGGCTGGGAAGTCCAAGGTCGTTTCTGGCAGATTCAGCATCTAATGAGAACCTGCTTCCTGGTTCATAGGAACTTTAAGGATGTGTCCTCCCATGATTAAAAAGGCAGAGGTGCCCTCCGAGGTCTCTTATAATCCCATTAATGAGAGCTCCACCCTCATTACCATCAAATCATTACCTCCTAACCACCTCCAAATACCTCATCTCCAAAAACCATAACATCAGGGGTTAAGTTTCAACATACAAATTTTGGGGAGATACAGATGTTCAATCTATAGTAATGAAATATAACTGTTGTTGGGAAGTGACTGCCTAGACAGGGACTTCATTTTCTCGACTCCCTGCATCTAGATGGGACCATGTGACAGACTTATGGCCAATGGAATTGGTGGAAGGAATTTATACCAGTTCTTGGTTAGACCCCTAAAATACTCCAATGTGATCCTGCATCTCTCTTTCCTTGTCTGCCAGCTGCATGTTGATGGAACCTTGGAGGCCAAGTGCTGAAGATGGCAAAGAGCCTACATCATCTGGATCCCTAAAGCACTACATGGAACAGAACTACTGCCCACCTTACCCCATTACCTCCAATTGAACTTTATATGATTTATTAATAAGAAATAAACTTCAACTGTGTTAAGCCATTGAGATTCTGGGGTTTACCTGTTACTGCAGCTAACAGTTACTTTAACATAGTCAATGACCTCTGACTTGAGTAATAAAATTTAATTTCCTTTCAGAGTATTTGAAGCAAAGCTTGTGGTGCTGTGTGTGTTGGGGGAGGGGGGAAGCGGGAATGAGAGGGCAGCACACCGTGAAATCAAAGGTCCCCAGCATATGTTAGTTTTTTCGGCAATCATTCTTAAGCTCAAGGTGTACTGTGGACAACAGTCCCTCTCCCCACAGAAAACCCTGAGAACAGAAAGTTAGATTATTCACATTTTATTACTTACAAAACATTACCTCAAAATATAAACTACCTCATGGACCCAAACTCTCTGCAGTCACCAGGCTCATATAAACCTAATCTGTTTTCTGGAAGAAAATATTAACACCTGTTAAAATCCCCTGCAGGGAAGAAATTTTCCCTGGGAGGCATTCCTGCACTCATTTCGCCAACTTCCAGATGAATAAAATTAAGGCTTCTTTTTGCTTCTTCCAAAAATATAATTTACTAATATAACATTTACAACCTGAAAAAGAATCCTAGAATAGTTTTATGAATAATAATTATTAGAAGTGTAATGTTCATGATGTGGGCTATAAAAAAGACCTCCCTTCTGTCTGCTGGATGCCTAGGTCAGTGGGATGTACGAATGAGCCCGTCACGTGGAACCTGGTCAGCTCCTCCCAGATGCCCGCACGGCTCCTGGGGGCTATCCTGGGGCTTGGAAGGAAGTAGGTGTCCCGAGCAGTTGGTTCGTGGTCTTTTGCCTTTCTTGTATCAGAGTGATATTTGGGAATACTGCTCCAGGCAATAGTTAATGGATTAATGATTTAGCCTGGGAAGGTGAAGAGAGACCTCCAGACCTGAGGGGTGGGGAGGGGAAGGGCTGTTGCATGTGTGGGTGCAGACTGGCCTGCCACTTACCCCTAGGACTTAGAAATGCCAAGAATCATCACCATGCTGGTTGCTGGTGGTGGGAGTGGCCCTTTACATTGTTCTATAGAAAGACAGAGAAGGAGAGGAGCAGCCCAGGAGGGCCACTAGTGAGTCAAGGTAAGCCTGGACTCAAATTTCTACAGCCAAGACTGGTCCTAGCCCTGCTCACCACTCATCAGAGCTGCTATCCACCTCCCCAAATCCAGGATCAACTGTCCTGGGTGAAGGCGCTTCTAGGTTCCCTACAGACACACAGGACGTTAAGGGAGCGGGCTGTGGGCAACACAAAAGTAAGAAAAAACAAGTGAGCCACAAGCAGCCTTGAGAGCACAGTGCAGACAGCAGGCTTTGAAACCCAACAGATTGGGATTCAAGTCCTAGTCCTGCCACTCTGCTTATCTGGATGGCTTTGGACAAATTACTTCTCTGGTCCTCCCCAAACAGTCGCCCCTCAGGACTTCCACTGCATAGGGAGGCAGCTACAGAGCCTCTCCGTCTCTGTTACTGGAGCTCAGAGGCAGTGATTGTAATGCTCTAGTTGTGTGGGCCTTGTGATAACTGTGTATCTTTGAGTGCCCCTTACTATCTTATTTATAGTTCTGGTACATCCTAAGAAAAGACTGCAAATGATTCTATGATCAAAATGTAATTCTCTCTCAGTACAGCAGATTTCCCTTAGCTCCAGGTTAGGGAGAGAGGGGCTGGCAGAAAAGAGGCCCTGGAGCAGGAGAGAAGTCAGTGGGAGCAGCAACAGGCAGTCTCCAGACTGGGCTGAGGTGCTGCGGGTGGGGAGGGGTGCTGGAGGAGGCCATGCTACATGGATGTCTGTGCCCTTCGTCCCTTGCCTTCCCCAAGCTACACCTCTATTCTTTTTGGTTGCTCTATCGATATCTCAAATTTTTAGTCCTTCTCTGTTCCAATATTTTTACTGTCAGAGGGATCCAACTGGTTCACATTTGCTTCACCCATTAATGAGAGCTCCACCCTCATTACCATCAAATCATTACCTCCTAACCACCTCCAAATACCTCATCTCCAAAAACCATAACATCAGGGGTTAAGTTTCAACATACAAATTTTGGGGAGATACAGATGTTCAATCTATAGTAATGAAATATAACTGTTGTTGGGAAGTGACTGCCTAGACAGGGACTTCATTTTCTCGACTCCCTGCATCTAGATGGGACCATGTGACAGACTTATGGCCAATGGAATTGGTGGAAGGAATTTATACCAGTTCTTGGTTAGACCCCTAAAATACTCCAATGTGATCCTGCATCTCTCTTTCCTTGTCTGCCAGCTGCATGTTGATGGAACCTTGGAGGCCAAGTGCTGAAGATGGCAAAGAGCCTACATCATCTGGATCCCTAAAGCACTACATGGAACAGAACTACTGCCCACCTTACCCCATTACCTCCAATTGAACTTTATATGATTTATTAATAAGAAATAAACTTCAACTGTGTTAAGCCATTGAGATTCTGGGGTTTACCTGTTACTGCAGCTAACAGTTACTTTAACATAGTCAATGACCTCTGACTTGAGTAATAAAATTTAATTTCCTTTCAGAGTATTTGAAGCAAAGCTTGTGGTGCTGTGTGTGTTGGGGGAGGGGGGAAGCGGGAATGAGAGGGCAGCACACCGTGAAATCAAAGGTCCCCAGCATATGTTAGTTTTTTCGGCAATCATTCTTAAGCTCAAGGTGTACTGTGGACAACAGTCCCTCTCCCCACAGAAAACCCTGAGAACAGAAAGTTAGATTATTCACATTTTATTACTTACAAAACATTACCTCAAAATATAAACTACCTCATGGACCCAAACTCTCTGCAGTCACCAGGCTCATATAAACCTAATCTGTTTTCTGGAAGAAAATATTAACACCTGTTAAAATCCCCTGCAGGGAAGAAATTTTCCCTGGGAGGCATTCCTGCACTCATTTCGCCAACTTCCAGATGAATAAAATTAAGGCTTCTTTTTGCTTCTTCCAAAAATATAATTTACTAACATAACATTTACAACCTGAAAAAGAATCCTAGAATAGTTTTATGAATAATAATTATTAGAAGTGTAATGTTCATGATGTGGGCTATAAAAAAGACCTCCCTTCTGTCTGCTGGATGCCTAGGTCAGTGGGATGTACGAATGAGCCCGTCACGTGGAACCTGGTCAGCTCCTCCCAGATGCCCGCACGGCTCCTGGGGGCTATCCTGGGGCTTGGAAGGAAGTAGGTGTCCCGAGCAGTTGGTTCGTGGTCTTTTGCCTTTCTTGTATCAGAGTGATATTTGGGAATACTGCTCCAGGCAATAGTTAATGGATTAATGATTTAGCCTGGGAAGGTGAAGAGAGACCTCCAGACCTGAGGGGTGGGGAGGGGAAGGGCTGTTGCATGTGTGGGTGCAGACTGGCCTGCCACTTACCCCTAGGACTTAGAAATGCCAAGAATCATCACCATGCTGGTTGCTGGTGGTGGGAGTGGCCCTTTACATTGTTCTATAGAAAGACAGAGAAGGAGAGGAGCAGCCCAGGAGGGCCACTAGTGAGTCAAGGTAAGCCTGGACTCAAATTTCTACAGCCAAGACTGGTCCCAGCCCTGCTCACCACTCATCAGAGCTGCTATCCACCTCCCCAAATCCAGGATCAACTGTCCTGGGTGAAGGCGCTTCTAGGTTCCCTACAGACACACAGGACGTTAAGGGAGCGGGCTGTGGGCAACACAAAAGTAAGAAAAAACAAGTGAGCCACAAGCAGCCTTGAGAGCACAGTGCAGACAGCAGGCTTTGAAACCCAACAGATTGGGATTCAAGTCCTAGTCCTGCCACTCTGCTTATCTGGATGGCTTTGGACAAATTACTTCTCTGGTCCTCCCCAAACAGTCGCCCCTCAGGACTTCCACTGCATAGGGAGGCAGCTACAGAGCCTCTCCGTCTCTGTTACTGGAGCTCAGAGGCAGTGATTGTAATGCTCTAGTTGTGTGGGCCTTGTGATAACTGTGTATCTTTGAGTGCCCCTTACTATCTTATTTATAGTTCTGGTACATCCTAAGAAAAGACTGCAAATGATTCTATGATCAAAATGTAATTCTCTCTCAGTACAGCAGATTTCCCTTAGCTCCAGGTTAGGGAGAGAGGGGCTGGCAGAAAAGAGGCCCTGGAGCAGGAGAGAAGTCAGTGGGAGCAGCAACAGGCAGTCTCCAGACTGGGCTGAGGTGCTGCGGGTGGGGAGGGGTGCTGGAGGAGGCCATGCTACACGGATGTCTGTGCCCTTCGTCCCTTGCCTTCCCCAAGCTACACCTCTATTCTTTTTGGTTGCTCTATCGATATCTCAAATTTTTAGTCCTTCTCTGTTCCAATATTTTTACTGTCAGAGGGATCCAACTGGTTCACATTTGCTTCCGCAAAGATTAAACATTGCCCTTTTCTTTACAGAAATAAAGCTTCTGTCTATGCATTTCCAAGGTGAATCCAACAGCTGCATCCACCTCCAACACAGAGGCCTCAGGTGCATGCAGTGGGGCACACCTGCAGATGCAGGGCCTGGCCTGGACCAAGGGGGCAGCTTAGCACTTCACAGTCCCACTTGGGCCTGTCCACCTCAGGAGGCCATAGAGGCTCCCTAAGAATGAGTGGAGGCCTCTCAGGCAGAATCCACCAACAGCGTCTGCCCTGTTGGAGGGTGTAGGGCTTGGGCCTGGAATTATCCAACTGCTTGTGAGGGGCCGGGGCACCAGAGGGTGAGTGAGCCTTTGGGAATTACAATTCTGGGAGTCCAGGCCTTGGTCTCACTGTAGCCCAGTTCTGGGATATTTCAAGCTTTTCTCCAGTCAGTAAGAATGCTAATATCCCATGGTTGTAGCTCTTTTCAGGGCAATAGAAGAACTGAGACTTTCTCTTCAAATTACAATGGGAATTTGTTCTGTCTGAGCCTTTGCAATAAGAAAGGAGAAAGAAAAATCATTCCTAAAGGCAGGAGGAGCAGAAAATCATCTGAACAAAAGGCACAGACTTCTCATTATACATTATTATGCTTTCAAATAAGCATTTCCGCAAGCCCATTCTTTGGCTTAAAATAAAGTGGTTCTAAAGTGTTAGATTATCTTGGCCATGTCTTGTTTTAGGAGGAAAAATCTGATCTGGGGAGGCTGATAGATGAGCTCTTTTGTCTCAGGGCCCAGCCAGGCAAGCTGCTCCCTTGATGTGCAGGTGATGCTGAGCTTTGTGGCAGGTTGTCTTTTGCAGGGAGTGGGAGGGGGGAATCATGATAAGAGCGATCCCTCCTGATGTAGCAATTACTTCCCACTCTAAAATGAAAAAGCCAGGACAGATGCCATGCCCTAAACCCCCTACAGAATGTGATGTTATAGTGAGTTCCTCAGCGTCCCTTGAACAATGCAAATACTTCTTCCGTGAGACAGTTGCAAAGTTACAATTGCAGGACTCCAAAGATAAATTTCAGTGATTCTCTCCTCCCCTTTTATTAACTAAAAATACCCAAGACTTAATTCTCTTAGGAGCAGCATTTAATACACAGAGAAAGACAAAAGAAGCAGGAACTGCTTATGTTCTGCAAGGTTAGGGGTTTAGTGAAGAATCAATACTTACTTACAGTAAGTGTGTTCAAATGGCACTCAGGAGGTTACGAATTAGTAGAACCTATGAAGAGGTGATGAGGGAGGTGGTGAATCTGTGAATTGGGCAGCCCTTGAACTTGGTTAAATGAACAGACTTTGGCTTGTTCTGAGTTTAGCAACCCATTTCCCTGGGTGAGGCTGGGCAAGCTAGGGGGCCCTCCCCACACCTTATAGGAGAAATGGGGATAATAACAGTAACTTCTTCAGGAGGCTGCCATGTATGTGAAGCAAGCTAGCCAGGGCCAGGCCGACCAGGACTCTGTATGCCCTTGTTACCAGGGCTCTCCTGCTCTGCCTGCACCAGTGAACAGAAGAGACCCTGGTATCTGCACACCTTTTTAAAAGTTTGGAGAAACAACTCTTTTCTCTTCTTCTCTCTTCCTTACTTTTGGCCTGTCCTCTGTCCCTCCTTTCTATCCCAGTCTCGGCACTTCTCTCTCCTCCCTTTCAGGCTGGAGCTTCAGCGGGAGGTGCCTGCTTCCAGAGAAGGGGAGGCCCCTCTGGGGCACCTTACAAGGCAGGGTCAGGGCCTGCTCCTCTCTCTCCACTGCCTCCAGGCTGAGCACACAGGCTGCCAAGGTCCAGCCTGGTCCTTGGTCTCCCTCTTTCTTGGTCCTGCCTCCTCCATACTGTTCCTCCGGCACCAATAGTAAGCATGTCAAAACCAAGTCCACTCTATTCCTTACACATAAATGAGCCTGTCAGCCTCCCTCACCCAAATTCCTGGTTCTCTAAGCTGAGAATTCTCTACCTCCTCTTTTATCTAATCTTCCTCCTGTCTCTCACCTTACCGTTCACTTTGCAGACATGACCCTAATCCTTAACTCCTTGGGTTGGCATCTTGGGCGGCCAGCCTGGCCTCTGTCCTCAGCGACACTGCCCCTCCTCTGCATTCCTATCCTTGCACAATGGCAGAAACTGTCCCACTGTCCTAATCGGAACCCTATGACATGGTCAAAATACCTTTTCTTTTTAAAAAAGGTATTTATTCAAGTCATTTATCCTGAGAGAGAAAATCACATCCTCAGAAAAGAGTCATTTCAGTAATAGCTTGTTTGCAAAGACCACATGCTCCTTGAACCACACAGAAGACCCTGGTCATGAGCTTTGAGTCACTCTGTGTCCCTCTGCCCGATTCAGGAACCTCCCGTCTACCGTTCCACAGCTCCCCACCAGACCTCAGCCTCCAGGGTCCCTGCCCCCTCAAACGGCGAACTGAAAGCTTTGTTCTATGCTCACAAAGGCTGGTCTGGGATACATGGACCTGGTCCAGGTTAGATTTCTGCCTAATAAATGCTGCTGAGAGGCACATAGGTACTCGGGAAGAGGCAAAGATGCTAGATTCAGTTGTATCTTACAGTGATGACCTTGAATTTACACCTTTTATTTTATGGTTTTGATGAACCAAACCATTAAGGGCTTCCCCTGATGAGCCCTTCATATCCTCTCAAGTCTGAGGCAGGTCTACTTGTTTGCTTTGTTCAGTTGCTGGGTGCCGGTGCTTGGTGGCTGGCGTGCTTCTCTTTGTACTGAAATGCTCTCCTTTGCAGCCACATGATGGATGACGGCTGCTTTTTGTGGTGCCTGATACACTGCTCTCCATTCAGTGAATACTGGTACCTGACTCCCATTCCAGCCCTGGGGGAACCTGGATTCACAGAGGAATAGAACCTTCGTACAAAATCCGGAGTGTGATTGCAATTTTACTTTTGAAGCACCTTCTTCCTGGAGGAATAGCCAGTGACTAATGACGCTGTCCGCAGCCCAGATGCACACCCTCATACATTAGCCAGGAGACGACAGGAGCAGCTCACCCAACAGGCTGCACTGACTCGCCCACTTGCTCCCCTGTGGGAGGAGAGCTGAGAGAAAGCTGGGACAACAGCGGGGGACAGACAAAGGAAAGGAGTTGGAAAAGGACTAGGCTCTCCCAGGCCCACCCGGCTTTTTCCTTCCTCATCGTCTGCTGAGGGCAGCAGCCACAGGCTGAGGTCTACAGCTTTCCTGCTGTGCGACCAGGCCCATGAGGAGCTGTTTCCCTTGTCCCAGGGGTCAGCTGTCAGCTCACTCTCATGGTGTGCATACATGGGTACATATAGCTCTACACACATACCTTCATCCTTATACAGGTGCAGGTGACATATACATTTTCCCGCGGAGTGGATGTGACCTACCTAGGCAAAACTCACACTATGACATTTCTCTGGAGAGCATGTCTGTGTTGATTTCAGCAGGATGGAGCAGCAGAGACTGGTCTGTTGCTAAGAAAATGTTTGAAAAATAAGGATACTATTTGTGTGGAAGAGTGGAAAGCAGCCCAGCAGGCCTGCTGGTCACTTGTAAATGTGAGAGAGGCTTATCGGTAGCGGCAGGCCAAAGCATTGACATTCTTGACCACATAAAAGCCCATGGTGACTGGAGGGATGACCAGTGTCCGGCCGGCCCGCAGGGGGCGGGGCTTCAGTTCTGGGAGGGTCCCATCATCCACCATCACTAAGGGCTGGCCGTTCAGCTGCACTGACCTGCAGTGAGGAAACACAGCATGGCACTTGTTATTGCCTTGGCAGAGTCATCGCAGTGGAGCCTGGGCAGCCCCAGATGGCCGGCCCACCTGTTTGATGCTTGCCCAGCGATCACTCACTGACACTTGCTATTCCCCAGCTCTCACCTAGGTGCTGTACTTGAGTAATACATTCGAACATGCCAGCAATGCTTTGAGGAAGAAACCGTCATTTCCCATTTACCTAGAGTGGTTAAGTGACTTTTCCAAGGCCATACTGCTTGTAGGTCTGGGAGCCAGGATTTGAATGCAGCTAGTCTGGTTCCCAAAACACACTACTTAGAGAAAAGTGAGGAGTCTCTGGGACACAGAAGCTGAAAAGTGTCTCATGCCTATTTAAAAAAAAATCATAATAGCAGTTTAGGTTGACTTTTCAACCTGAAGAGTTTTTACCTATGGAATGATGATTTCATAAATCTCCTATTTAACTGGTAACTTCCTTTCGATTTTTGGGAGATTACAGAATTGACATCATTACCTGTCTAGGGTTGTTCTGAAAGAGGACAGAGCTCTATTTAGTAACAACTTTCCCTTTTCTAACCTAAATGAGTTTTCCTATGTCATATTTAATAGATGTTTCCTTTTTATAACACAGTGAAGTAGGTGATAAGGTAGGCATTTGCAGTGCCAGTTCACCTGCCCTGCTTGCTTCTGTTCTCCCTGTGTGCCTGAGAAGGGGGCCACACAGCATGCTGAGAGGACAAAGAGCCCAGCCCCCATCCTTGGCCCGTGGTACAAACTCCAGAGAACTTCCCAGCTGCTCCTGATGGGGGAGTGACTTGTACAGTCATGTTCCCAGATTGAAGCTGTTTTATGGGTCAGTAGAAGAGGCCAGACTCAGCCCGTAAGCTGAAAACCAGACTGTGTCACCCTCAGAAAATCAGCACAGCACTGTGGTGACTGTTTCTGGGCCTCCCGGACCTCCAGTGTGATCATATTGCAGAGATACCACCTGAGCCGTAAGGGAATACAATGTTAGAAATCTATACAAAGGTCTTGTTCAGTGTTCCTTCTGTGCTATGAATGATAGACAGGTTTAGAGAGAGAGGATCAGACCCATGCCCAATAAAGCAGGGAATTCCTAGAGATGTAGGTGTTATAAATTGCTCCCAGTGGAGAGCTAGGCAGGAGGCTGCTCCACGCCTGGCCCCACCTGGATAAGATTGGGCCCTGTCCAGATCTGATAGGTGGGAGGGGCAGCCCCCCTTTTGTTCATATGACAGAGGAATAAATGAGTGAGCAGGGGACTCCTGTATGGAGAGCCAGGTCTGCCTCTGGAAGGTGCAGGGTGGGAGAATCGAGATCTGATTGGCCTTGACTTCATCAGATACCAGGGGAGCTTTAGCTCCAAATTTAAGCAACTCTCTCTAATGAAGAAGGTATATTCACTGGAGTGGGAGGCAGGGTGAGGGAGAGGATTCAGTTGCAGAAGAAGGTGCAACAGGTCTTCGCAGTGTATTTTCACTATTTTGTTTCAGGTGGTATAAATATCCAACAACCAGACATATGCACCATCAAGAAAACAAATTAACCTTTAAAACATACCCAAATTTATATCACTTGTATACTTGAAGCTTGTCAGTGGCCCCTCTACACAGGGAGTTAGGTGCAAGCCCTCCCCCGAGGAATTAGGTCATGTCCTTTTAGATTTACATGATCCCAGAATATGGCATCTTTGGTTTCTGGGAAGTACAAAATGAAGTGTGACAACCAAGCCTTCAAATTTCTATACTAACAGTGAGTTATAATTACTTCCACCAAGAAGTAGTAGTACTATAATGATGGAGGCGTGGTGATTCTGGAGCAGGCCCCATTCTGATTTCCTTATTGTTTGGTCAAAAAGCTAACTCGGTGTGGGTGGAATCAGGGATCATGGTCAAGATCTGGATCTGGACGGACCTCTCATTCCAGGAGCCCAGAGGCCACTCACTTGCTAGACAGCCCTGGCAAATCTCCTCACCTCACTTGCTGTGTCTTTGGCATCTGTGAGAATGCTACACAGGCATCAGTGTGGATGAAAGGCAAGGAAAAAGTGAAATGAAAGTGCTTCAAATGAATAATAAGCCAAAACGTGGGAGGCAGTGTCTTTGTTGTTAATTCTTTTCATTATCATTATGGGTGGATCAATTGTTTGGTCCATATGGCAGCTTTGTGACCCTGACAAGTTGCATGTTTCCTTCCCTTCTTACAGCCCCGTCTTCCCTTGGCACCACCCCGCCTCGTGCATGTTATGGGTACGTGCAGCCTTCCCCCTTTCATTCCTGCACGGTGCTCCCTTGAGGGGGACTGCTCCCTTCCTCTTGCCTTTCAGACACCAGGAGTTCCCAGGGCTTTGTCCTCAGCCCTCCTCCCACCCACACACTCCCCTGGGAACGATCATCCACAACTAGGACTTCAATTGCTATCTGCGTGGTGATGCTTCCCGAACCTGTATCTCCAGCCTAGTTCCTTCTGAAGTATGCATCTCCACTCTGCTGTCCCACAGGAACTTCAAAGTCACTATGTCCAAAGTCAAATCTTCTTCTCAAACCCTGTCCTTTCCTCTGCCTTTTTATCTTTGTGCTGGTACCACCCTCTATCCGATCACCTAAGCCAGAGAGCTGGGAGTCACCTGTGATTCTACCCCAGTCTCCATATCTGGGGTCATAAGCCCAACCAATTCTACCTTTTAATATTTTTCAGATCTACTCATTTCTCTCCATTCAATGCTTTTATTTTAGATCAGAACTTGCCTTATAACCCATCTCCTTGCCCCTGGCCTCACCATCCTCCCCGTGGTTTGCCACGCTGCTGATGGTGACCTGTGGCTATCACTGCTTTAAACTCCTGACAGCAACCTATCCCTTCCGCATTGATATATATGGTGAAGCTGAGCCCAGTTCTCTCTCCACTCTCGGAGGCTGCCAGTGCCCCCAGTCCAGGGCTAACTGTGGGTCCCGGGCCTCTGGGGGTGGGCATAGGCTGAGATGGCAGTTATGGTAAGGATGCTGCTAAGATATGCATAAGCAAAGACTGTTTTATGATGAAAAAATAGGAAGTGCTGCACATCAATGAGATAATATTTCTCAAATGAAAATGCAAGTAGATACCGTTGGGAATAAAATATCAAGTTCATTTAATAGTATAGTAAATATTTTTCAAATGTAAATGCCAGTAGACACTGTTGTAATTAAAAAGATAGAAAGACACAAGTTCATTTAAAACTGTTATAAAATTCCTAACAGATTATTTTGGGAGGAGGGGGGCATCATGTTTTAATCAAGCGAGAAATTTTAAAAGACCACTTGCTATAGTTGGGAGGGCTGCGGGGTTTGTTGGCATTACAAAGGAACAGTAGATTGGAGAAGGCTCCACCCTTGCTCCAGGACCACCGAATGAAATGACTTGCAGTTCCCCTCCTGAGTGCTGAGTGTGGTATCGCACTCCCTCCACCCAGAGCACAGCCAGCCCTGCTCCGTAACCCGCGGGTCCCTGCAGAGCCTGCTCAGGTGTCTCCTCTGGGGAACTTCTCCCGACCCCTGGGCTGGGCTGGGAGCCCCACCTCTGGACTCTCTAGTATCCCAAGCTTACCTGTAACAACCTTACTGAGTTGGAGAGACTTCTTGCTCTCTCCCTTGCTGGGCTGTGAGCTTGGTGAGGAAAGGGATCATGTCTTTCATCTCTAAATCCTCAGTGCCTAACAAGGTGCTTAGCATGGAAGAGGTATGAAATATTTTTTTTTGAGTTTTGAGGCTCTTTTGCATTACTTCTGGTCTTCCTAGATGGAGTTTCTCCAGCTCAAAAGAGGCTTCTGGAGGTTCCCTGAGTGTCTTTACAGAGCATCAATTACTCTTGCTCTCAGTGGCTCTGCAGATGTTAGGTAAGACCTGAATTATCACTGATTCTCACAGTCACTCACCAGACACCTTATCCCAACCTGACTGGAGGTCATTAATCAGGCCTAGTGTTTTTCATCCTTAGAAAAGATCTATATGACTATCTCTTAGCTAAGCCCACATGAGTTAATTTTGTGAGACCTCAAGTCCTCACAACATCTTTATCTACAAAGGCCCTTCATTATGAAAATGGACCACGTGCTTTACAACCTCCATTCTATTTTTTCCTGCTTACATTTTTCTTTTAATATTTATCCTGTTATCCAGTCAAGTCACATCATGCTAAATGTTATAATAATCTTTCATCTTTATGAACAATTTGTAAGTTTGTAAACATAATCACATAGATGATCAGAATCAACTATTGAGCACTGACTATACAAAGGGCACTATGCTATAATTTACTTTGACTGTTGACTTTCATCCTTCCAAAAACCAAGTGAGGCAGTGTCAGCATCCCTATATATTGCAGATGAGGAAATAAAAGTTTAGAGAGGTCTTGCCTAAGTCACACAGTCAGTAAATGGTAGAGCTGAGACTTGCACTGATGCCCTTCATCATAGTACTGTCTGGCCTCCCTTGAGACTGCTGTAAGGTATGCAGGACAAGTATTATTATTATAAATTATTGTTTAGATGAGGTCAGATAGGTTAACTGGTCTGGGCAAGGTCACACAGCTAATAGGTGGCTAAGCTAGCTCTTGAATTCAGGCCTCTTGACACTTCTTTCTACTATTTCACATTGTTCTTCAATTCCAGATGGCACTTACCAGGGTTATGTTTCTTTGAAACCTTTCTTATCATATTTTCATCATATTCTGGGACCTCCTTACTGCTCATGACTTTTCAAACCAAATGCTAAATGATCCAGGTTATGCTGAACTATTTCTCTTAATTCCCTAGCTGCTGAGGGCATTTAAATTATCCAAATATTAGGACAACTGTGTTTTATCACCATCTGTTTTTACAAAGTCTGAGTTACTTTGCAATTCCTAAAGTTGTTTTCTTTATTTTGCACACTATTTGAAACACGATTCAATATCTCAATTTGGAGTCAAGCCCTCTGCTTCCTAGGTCTCCGTGGGAGC